GTTGTTGTTGTTGTTGTTGTAGTTTTGGTAAGTCTATGACTAATGGCTAGATATTGATAAGTTAGACTTATTTAGGACATTTGTGTAAGTTTTCCTTTGCTTACCGGGATTAGCAAAATAATCCGTAAAATTCAGTATTATTTTATCATCTGTCTAAAATTTCTTTTCAAATACAAGTATACCAGTATGATTTTATACCTCAAGTCCAATATTATTTTACACCAGAATAACCTCGATTTCATCTTTCCATTTTATATTTACTTTAACTAGGGTAAATTTGTGAACTTTTGTATTATACACTGTACATCCAGTCTTTGATGCAATGAACTAAACATCCGCTAAATCATTAGCATTAAATAATCCAGTGATTAATCCCCATATCACAACTCAACTGTGAACTCTGCATAACTTTGTCAGCGAACCAAACATCACTCTCCTAAGTGTCTGCCTCCCAAGCTTAGTGGGACACATGGGAGACCATCAATGCCAAACATTATATACTGGCATAACTTGCTCATATAGCAAAGAACAACCTGATGCCACAATGAAAGAGAAGCAGCACATTGCGATAGTTGCAGAATGAAAATGGCCATAACAAGAGTTCAAGAATCATTACTCTAAGGTGAAGGATTACCGCGTGGTTAATGCCCTCTTGATTTATCAGTAGTGTATTCTGATTCCCTTGTGCAGATAACCAAAGAATCAACATAACTCCTCCTGCTATGGACTATGAGCTTGTGAGATCCTCAGAGTAGTCCTCACAAAGTGTGCTAAACTAAAGCAACTACAAAGCCCATTTCCCCACCTCTTACTTCCATTACATCTTGTGTGCTTAACTTGTTTGAACAGTCGAGTCATAAGGTAACACCTCACACTTCGACAGTCATCAATTAAGTGGATTCTGTACACAATGTTACAACAAGACTTCCAATATGCCAACTCTCATCTGCCGGCAAGAGTATATAATCATATAAATTAGAAAAGTGCTACCATCTTTCGTCTCCAACCCAATTGTTCTTCTCCTTTGGCCCAGTAGGGCCTTCCTCCTTAAACAGTTCCACTGGCAACTTATCAAAAATATTCTGCACTGAATTTCGGACCATCACTGGCAAGCGATTTACAATTTTCTCAAGCTCCTTTCTTGAGTCGTAAATAATGGTTGGACCCCACTCTCTCATATATTGTAACCAACATGGCTCGCTGACAGCTCCATGTCCAAGATACTCTGCTGCCATAATTTCATATTTGGTACTAGAATCTATGCAAAGATTACTACAGGCAGCATCATTTCTAATTCCAATCCCTAGCTTTGAGGACCCTTGCATGTAATTTCCAGGATGAGGAAAGCTAGCATGACCATTTTTTGATGAATAAACAGTAGCTTTATTTCCTGCAATAAACTCCAAATCATAAGCATCCACCCATTCACCACCGCTGTGCTGAGAAAAATAGATACTCCACAGCTCCCCTGTGAAATTGCTCACTCGAAGAGTGAAATGCTCCCAGTCACCTACATGCTGACCAATTTTGCTAAGAGGAACATTCACTAGGCCTACCTTCAGAGTGGCTGGCCCATTGAAGGGGCAAAAAATCCACATCGCTATATCCGTGAAAGTTCCACCTAAGGCTGGCTTCACATGAACATAAAGTTTTGCACTCTGTAAATTTCCAAACTTGACAATCTCTCTTCGAACATCGCTTGGCAAATCAATCCAGTATTGGCCATCATTTGTCCCACCGCCAGGTAAATTGGATCCGTCAGGCTCGATAGGCTTAACAACTGAATCACCTCTCGTATAGAGCAATGCACCGTTGTCGAAGAACCATTGTAGNAAAGAACCATTGTACAGAAGATGGAAGATAGACCTCGTCTGGATGGAAAAATAAAGTAGGACCATAGTGCCTAATGATCGCATGAATCTGATCAAGGTTTGGCATTGCTTGTAAACTCATATCAAAGCTCTTTAAGCATGCAATGCTTAGCTCTTCCCCCGTGCTCCAATAACAACTGCAGAAAAAAGTACCAGCTGAAATACCTTTCCCATGCATTCCTCTATGCCGCGGTCTTATGCTCCAAACTGCCAGTACTTCTGAAAGCACAGAGCTGGTTTTGAGTATCAGGCGGTGAGTTTCACATTCATCAGTGAGGTCAGCTCGAACACATTTAACTTCCCCTAACTCAGGTTTAACAGGCTTATTAGTCGCAATGAACCCCAATGCTTTATAACCTTCAGGTGGTTGCGGTAACCAGAAGTAACCAGATCCATCAAAGTTTTCTTCACTTCCAACATCAGAACTACTCCACACTAATGTGTAATCTAGGGGATCCTGAAGTGCAGGTAAACAAGGATTTCCGTTGCAATGATCCCCTGCCTCAGGTTTAGCCACTTCCCGAGCAACAAGTACATATCCTCGTAGAGGCTTGTTGTTAGGTTGGCAGTAGTGGCCAAGGCTAAAAAATCCATCTGGCACCCCCCTTGGCTTATAAAAGCTAACACCCTGTTTCCGGTCTTGTGACAGATTACAACCACAGACAAACTCAAACTTGCTAATTTTATGAACCTCCAATTCCCCTAGTTTAATTATTCCACTAGCAAATCCTGTAGATGAACATTCTAAGGCAGAAAACGGAAGACAAGCTTGCATTAGAAGTGTTCTTTTCTTAGTTTATGTGTTGAGACAGGAAAAGATATAGGTTCTTATGCAATCCACTAACATGATTCTTATAGTCTATTGAGGTACAAGTTAATTGCACGACCCATAAACAGATGCATTGTATCATGTGACGCTGAAAACTAATGCAAGTCCAAGAACATATAATATCTTATTCCAGAAAAAGAAAGAATTAGAATCAGTAATTCTTAATTTTAACAACATCCTGATTTTATAGTCAGAACTTAATCATGAAGAAAACTAGGTGCATTGGATAAATATTGAAACCAGTAACATATAAGATTTTGTTGATCAAACAAACCATGAGGAGCAAATTATTTTATTTGTTTATTTTCCAGCTCATTATCTCTCTATTGCTGAATGCTGATCAATCAAAGAACTTCAGCAACATCTTCCCAAACTAAGCGTACTTCATTGACAGCTCTAGGTATTAAAAACTTGTAGGGCCCTTTTAAGAAGGGGAAAATAGTATAAAATGTTGAGCATGCTGCACACTCAATAACATGCTTGGAATTACAATAAAGACTACATTCTTTTCTTTACCATGCTAAAAGAATCAAATGTTGCAACAACCTCATGCAGCTTTAGCATATACTATTCTTCTATTGAACAGTACAGAAACATATTTAAAGTTGATCATTGCGAGCCACTAAACCATACTGTAAACAAGAACCTCGTGGAATGCTGAGCCTATTAGTTGAAGCTAAGATAAACAGATAAAAGATCTAATACATAATCACGTTATCGCAGCATGCCACTAAAAGCCCCTCTGGTATTGATGTGTAATTTCTAATGAACAAAAAGATATGTTCTTCTTTCCTTGTTTTAAATGCAAAGTAGGCATACAAATTATTGAAAGCAATGGTCACATAACAAAAGATTAAACCCTACATCTTAGATCAAAAGTGTAGTCATCCAGAAAGTTTATAAGCATTTTGTCAAATCCAAGTGACTTCTTTAATTAGATTGCATAGATAGATTATCAGCATAAAAACAGTCAAATTATGAGATTGGATACATAGAATTTATGTAGCTCACGAAAATAATTAAACATTATGGCGCAGTTGATTGATTCAATTGAACTTTAAAGTGACTATTTTACAACAAAGTTCCAAAAATGACAATTGACAGCCAAAAGAAACATCAACAGGGATTCCCAATTGGCATACCTTGAGGCCATTGTGGGAGGGGTGCAGGCAGAAGAAATGTGTCAGGTTCTCGAGAAGAGAGATCTGAAATTCTGCTCCAACGGAAGCATTTGCACCGAAACATATTGCAGCCCAACACACCCCCACCCCCTCTTTTTCTTTTCTTCTCAATTATCTCCCAATACCTATTCAAAATTAAGTGTTTTCTCTCGATTTAGGTGAGTGCATCTCTATAAAGATCAGTTTTTTAGAATACCCAATTGTTCTGGGATGAATCTTTATGCATGTAATGAGTAGAATATTGTTTCTGGGAATCAATAGTTCCGTGTCTTTGTGTTTCCGTAGGATGTAGGAAAGAGATTGGACGATGAATGACGACGTCAACTGTTGTTTTCGAGTCCTCACCACTCACCAGCTTTTTATAGGTTACGGGCCCCCCTTACTCATACAGGCCTAGTAGAGCTATTCAAGCTGGATTTCATCCCTCTAGGCCCATTAATGTTAAATGCAATCCTTTAAATGTTTTCATTCTATGTTGCAGTGTTTGATGGTAAAAACTTAATGGTACATAATATTTATATTAAATTAAATATAAAAAAATATCTTTTATATATACAAGGTTTACTTAATCATGAGTAAGTGATGAGTTTCTAACTTAAATTTTTAATTACTCAGGCTACATTGAAGTTCGACATTCTTATTAAACTAAGTATATGAAGTTGGAATTGATTACCTTGAAATTCGAGCTGATTATTTGAAGTTCAAATAAATTTTTCTTGTTTTATTTTGCTATTTTTAATTTTGTTTTGTTTAAGATAGAAGTAGTCTAAAATCGTAAATAACATAATTTTTTGTTAATTTTTAACATGAAAATTACATAGTTTTTTCATTAGATGCATCCCACTCTACAACGTTGACATTTTGGCATTTGTCTTTTTTAATGAATACACACAATTTAGTTATTTTAATTCAAGAAGTATAATATGTGACTTTATTATTATTTTAAAATTAATTAAATTAAACCTGAATTACTATGAAATTTCAATTTAACCTTGTAAAAGAAGTAATTTGGTGCATATTTCAAGCAGATTCGAGAAAGGGCACGCCAAAGAAATAAAAAAAATAAAAAATATATATAGTGTCATGGATACACAAAGTACCCTTCGATCCTATGAAAAATAGTGCAAGTACCCTTGGCAAGTCACCCGCGCCCAATAGGCAAACAACCGCTTCATTTTATTTGCCCTAATCCTTCTCTTTTACCTCCATAGCACTGAAAAACCCCTAAACTCAGAGAGAAAACCTCTGCAGCTTTTGTCAAAAACGCCTCTCGAAACTCTTCGTCGACGCCTCGATTTCGTCTTTCCGTCAGTCCACCAGGTGCGTTCCATTTCCAGCTTCTTAAAGTAACATTAATGCACACTTTTCTTTTATCTTTTACTTGTTCTACGTATTCATGCTGTAACTTATCCAGTTTAGCTCGTTAATTTTCCGAAACTCTGTCCCAAATTTTGTTTTCCCGCTGTTGTACCAGGATTTCGCACCCAAAAACGTAGTTCATTAGCTGTTATTTGCCAGGATTTATAGTTTTATGACTTTTTTTCAAGCTTAGACTGTAGATTTGTATTCTGATATTTCAAATTCTAGCACTGACAGAGGCGGATTCAGGATTTTAACTTAGTGGTGCTGAGTACTAGTTGCAATTGGTGCAACTTCATGGCATGTGTGGATATTTTCTCAGTGCCAAGTGGCAACTGTACATGCATCTGCCTTTAAGCGTTTCAGATTGTTTATCCAAAGCCCTGTTAGGACCATCAATTAGTCAAGTGCTTGCCCTAATAGTAGGATAAGAAGGGCAAAGAAACGTTTTGCTTTTACTAGGTCTAGATTATGAATATTTCAGTTCTCTGTCTTTTGCCCTCATTTTTTTTAGAGGAAGCGATAGAGGCCGTTTGGAAATAAGAAATTTTTCCTTTTTTCGAATTTTTTTCACTTTCTCCCGAAACCAGCGTTTGCTCATAAATTTTCAATTTTCACTTGAAGATGCATTTTTGAAATTTTTCGAAAATTTAAAATTTCCAAAAAACCGTTTTTCAAAATTTTCACTCGGATCACTCACAAAACTTCAAAAACAACCCAAAATTATATTCATGTCCAAACACAACTCTAATTTTCAAATACCATTTTCATTTGATTTTTTTTTTCCACTTTTTTTTTTGAAATTTTACCATTCTTATGTCTAAACGCCCACTTAGAGATGGTTGAAATTGTGCCTCAAGGAAGGTTTTCTTAAGTAAACAACTAGCATCTTTACTTAGCAGATAGAGCCTGTCTGATGGCCTATATTCTATATTGTGTACGCGATCTTTAAGGTCACTTAAAAAATATATGAAGAAACGAGTAAAAAAGAAGAGGAAAGTATATAACATTTTACTCCAATACACACTCAGTTATGTATGTTATTCTTGTTTTGCATATAAAATCTCTTACTATGTTTACTTATTATCCTACTCGTTCCTTTGATATGTTTATAATAAGATATCTGGGCAACAAATGTGTATAATTTTCCTTTCTTAATCTTAATTGCTGTACTAATCAATTCTGCTTGTTATGGAGACAGATTTTAAACTATGGGCGATAGTGAAACTGCGGTAGCTCAAACCTCGTCAGTCACTGACTATAAATCTGCTGGTTATTCGTCAAAAGTTCCTGATGATGCTGGCACCCATACTTCTTCCGATGCTGGAAATGCTGGGGATTTGGCCACTCCATGTCCAAATGGCGCTGGGGAGTTAGCATCTTCTAATGTAGAAGCTGGAAACCTATATACTGCTGATGCAGTGTCTACCCAGCAAGAAGGTGCTACTGCTATGACATATGAGGCCAGCCAGGATCTTGCAGCTCTAGAAGATGCAGCTGCAGGTTCATCCCAAGCGGCTGTTTATGACTCTTCTGCAAATGGCAACAGCACTATTGAAGCAAGAGACATTGCTGAAAATGGGATTGCATCAGATGTCCATGGAAATTCCAATATGCATCAGCCAGAAGATGGCTTAGGTACAGTTTTTAGCTGTTCAGTGTCCTTGTGTCATCTGCTGTTGCTACTTCTGCAATTAAACTAAATAAGTACTTAATTAGATGTTAAGGGACGCTTGTCATCAATTTAATTAGTCACGAGAATCATAATACAAATACATGATGCTGATATAAATTTGTTTAGTAGATATGTTGTGTCATTTCTTTTACAAAAGAAAATCTGCATAAAATGTGAAGTTACGCAAGGATGCTGCCTTAGCTTGGGTCTCTATGAATGTCTTTGGTGGTTGGTAGTTATTTGTTTTTCTCGGCAGTCTTCTCATATTGTAACCAGCTGCTTTTCCCAGTCAGCTTTCCTTTTACTCTTTCCTGCAGCATGTTGTCTGCTTGATCAATTTTGTTTTCTTTCCTCGTTTAATCTTTCTAAATTTAAAATTTCCTTTTTCTCCCTTTGTCCTGAATGTCAGTTGCATCAGCGGTTAGTAAACTTACTGGCTATGCTTTCTGTTGACAGCTTTATCTCCTGAAGAGGAAAGATTATGGAGCATAGTAAGGACAAATTCTTTAGACTTCAATGCCTGGACTTCCCTTATTGAGGAGACAGAGAAGATGTCAGAGGTACTTTAACTGGCCTTCTGTTTAGGAATTTGTCATCTTGGTATTCTTCATTTTCTCTTCGTCAGTTTTCTGTATTGAGATAAGAGAGTTTCTCATTATTCTCATTTTATTTAAAGTTGCTACTCTTTCCCATTGAGTGAAGTACCTATCCGAAAAGGTACTGTCTTTCCTGCGCAGCTGAATTGACAGGGTACAATTTTTTGCTATAAAAATATATCTGACTTTCATGCTAGAGAGAAGGGTAGTGTGGCAGAAAATTCCTCAATTACATACATGTAAATTTGTTGTCAAGCTATAAATTAATCACCATACTTAAAAGGATTAAATTCTGTTACACTCTAACCGATCTATTACTGCAAGAGTTGCGTCAGATAGATGCTTTATCTCGTAGCTCATATCTTTTATGTTTATAGTTATTCTTTAGTTAGATAAATCTCTTGTTTCTTTGACACATGGAGCACTATCGAGTTGGTGGTGTTCTATTCTTCTCTCTTCCCATCCATGCCATGTGTTAACCTACTTAGGAAAAACTTTTAGTGGTGTCCATGTTTTTAGCTGAAATTACCAGTATATTTTAGATTTTTTTAATCTGGTGGTTGCCAGGATTGTAGTCAGTGATGTATAACAGTCACAAAAGATCATTTTTCATTAGCATGAGATTTAATGGTGCAAGAATGGTGATGCTCTTATCCACGTCACTTTGCACTTTCCTTGTTTGGATCACAAAAGATTTAATCAATTTGGCTTTGATTAAAATATTTCCTATTTCCATGAAATCAAATTAATATTGATTGATAGTAATATGGCTTTTCTTCAATGATCTGCCTACCATTTAATACATTTTAGTCTAGTTATTCCAAAAAAAAAAGAATCTAATACATTGTCATTTATGGACAGCTTTAATTTCTTAATCTTTATATTAAGCAAACAAGCTCATCTATAATGTGGATTGTGTATTTGTCTTTTGAGAGCAAACTTTCCAAGGTCCAATTCTCTTGCTAAAATCTGCTTGTGGCTGTCTATATTCTATATCTTGTGGACACAAATTTTCTCAATGATTGATTCAATAGCCATTGTGACAATGTGTAGGGCAACATTTTGAAGATTCGGAAGGTTTATGATGCATTCTTGGCAGAATTTCCTCTATGTTACGGTTATTGGAAGAAATATGCAGATCATGAGGCACGTCTTGGTTCTGTCGACAAAGTTGTGGAGGTCTATGAACGAGCTGTTCAAGGCGTGACATATTCGGTAGATATGTGGTTGCACTATTGTGTTTTTGCTATAAGCACTTATGGAGATCCTGACACCATTAGAAGGTAATGTTGTTGATGATCTGATTTGTTCTAGTTTTGCATGGGAGATCATTGGCGCAAGATGCTTATAATTTTTTTCTTTGTGCCAAACTATATGATCTTTCAATGCTATCTGACCTGATTTCAGCACGTCTGCAACAGCTCTTATTCATCTGCATGGTGTAAGGTTTGTTTGGATTGCACTTCAGGATTGTATAACTGATGTGCAATCCACATGATTCTATGGCTACTGTAGCCATATGAATTTTCTTCAGGATTCAATTATATTTTATGGCCTTATTCTCCCCATTCTATTTTCCCTGTCCTTAGGGCTGTGTATAGTCCATGTAGTTCTCCATGATATTTTGCTGTTATTAACCGTCGCACATGAGGTGCATCAATAACCGCATTGCTGCTGAGAAGATCTCGTCCAGTAAGGCTAAGATGCCCTCTCACTGCTCCTTTCACGGACATTGTAAGATTGTTTTGAGGAAGGTAAATGCAGCATATTTGTGGGAGTGTCTGCTCTTTGAGTGAATTAGTACTTTCGCTTGAACTCTTCTCATGTACTGCATTTTCTAGAGCCCATGCAAAGGCATGTGTGTGTTATTATTAATCCTATGGTACATTGTTCTGTTGGTTTGTTAGGTTATTTGAAAGAGGATTAGTGTATGTTGGAACAGACTACCTGTCTTTTCCACTTTGGGATAAGTACCTGGAGTACGAGTACACACAGCAGGCCTGGTCAAATGTTGCTGCCATATACACTCAGATATTGCAGAATCCAAATCAGCAGCTCGATCGCTATTTTGAAGGGTGATTATCTTCCTTGAAGCTTATTTTGCATTTTCATTATTCATTCAAGGCTCTCAGATTCAGTGGTCGAGCTTCTAGATCAATCTCTTACAGTACCATTTTTTTCTGATTGCCTTGTGAATAGAATACACCTTTACTTGGTTTTATATAAACAAGCTCAATCGTCGGCAGTACACTTAAGTGGATACCTTGCTTGTTTAAGTATCTGGTTTTTGCAAGTTCCTTGTTTAAGCATCTTGATATTGATGCAAGAAAAGTAGTTGATGTGACTATTGTTGCTTTCCTGGTGCAATTGTATCTACAGTTTTAAGGAGCTGGTGGCTAGTAGGCCTATATCAGAGCTACGAACTCCTGAAGAAGCTGCAGCTGCAGCAGAAGCTGGCAGTGAACAGATTGAGGGAGAGGTTAATCCTAGTTCTGAGCCTTCTAAACCTGTAAGTGCAATCTTAAAAGATGCCGAGGAGTTGGAGAAGTATATCGCCATTAGAGAAGAGATGTATAAGAAAGCTAAAGAGTTCGATTCTAAGATCATTGATTTTGAAACTGCTATAAGGAGGCCATACTTTCATGTGCGGCCTCTTAATGTTGCGGAGCTTGAAAATTGGAACAGTTATCTTGATTTCATAGAAGGAGGAGATGACTTCAATAAGGTACTTTGGTTTGGTTATTTGTGGATTTTCAATATCTCTTTATTTATAGCTTTAGTTGCCTTGTTATACATTTATTTACAGTTAAAGTAATATCTGCTGCCTCATATGCTATATTGGCTAAACCATCGGATGAAGCATCTTTTTAAACGGGATATTGAACTTGGACTAAAGCATGGACCATCCATTTGCTTTCTATAAGGCTAAGTACTTCAAACCCTCATTTGTGAGTCGATGTTCTGGGTTCATGATCTGTTGTATCGTGGAATATTTGTTTTGAAGTTCCAATGTTATGCATGCAGGTGTGTTCTTATCTTCCTAACCATGTCAGGCTAGAAGGGCCCCCCTTTTGTATTAGAGGGGCCCTGTTCCACCAGAGGAGTACTTCTTAGTCCTTTCAGCTTTTGGTGGAATTTCCTTATACAGTAGAACATTAGTATGTGTTAACCCATTTGTTACTTGTGCAAGTCAGGTGGTCAAGCTGTATGAGAGATGTCTGATTGCTTGTGCCAATTATCCTGAATTTTGGATTCGGTATGTTTCGTGTATGGAAACAAGTGGAAGTTTGGATCTTGCCGATAATGCCCTTGCTCGTGCCACTCAAGTCTTTGTCAAGGTAAAATCTCATAAACTTTTTTTTTGGGGGATTTCCCCTTTGTGACTATATTTGGTTTGTTCAACGTGACATTCTCTTTGCGTTTAGGGGGCCATTTTTTGAATCGTATGCTTCATTACTATCTTGAATTTTGAAAAATTATTCAACTCTTTGCTTGTCCGGATGAGCTGTTTAGTGGTTATTAACTTTTCATCTCAAAGTCTAGTATTTAAAGATTTTGTGAGATTTCTATTCCCATGTCAAGATGATAACTGGCTTTTCTATTGAATGGGATCAGTATTCCCCCCTCCATATTTTAAATATTAGAAATATCTTGGCATAGAAGGTTGAACTCTGAGGAAAACCCAACCGCTGCTGTAATATAAATTGACTGCAATGATGAACAGAAATGGTAGATAGTTTTCCATGGAAGGTTGAACTCTGTTGCACCCTGGTAAACTTGCTTATTTTTCTGCCATCTTGCAAACTTAGCATTGAGATCACTCTTCAGTATATTTTATAGCCTGGGTTGTAGATTGCTCCACCTGAATAATCTAAATCCAGGGGCTGGTAATGCTAATGCCAGTGTTTTGCTGGTCATCCGCGGATAAGCTTGCTTGATTGTCTGTCATCCTGTAGTCTCTGCAGGGAAATTGCTCTTTAGTAGATTTCTTAGCATCGGAGAGGGGATTATGGGTCTGCGCATTCAAGTTAATGCGCTGGTAATTCTAGTTGACCAACAAGGTCGTAGGCAATTCCCCCACTTGGATAACTTAGACAAACGTACAATGTTCCTGCTGGGATTTATGAAGATAATTTCAACAAGTTAAAGTGCTATTTATTTTAATTCTTCTAGTTCTTTCACAAATATACATTCTCTTGCAAAAAGTTTTTTGAAGTGTTAAAGTATTGAATTCAAGTGAGATCTGAAGTTGTTACTGATAATTTCTTGCTGGTTTCTAAGGATATTTCACTCTTCATGCAATATATGACCCTCAAAGTCTTGTGTGGTTATAATAGTGTGGTTTTTCTTTGTCAAGAGTTTGTACTTGAAAGGGTGGAAGCGAGTTGCATGAGGATGCCTATGAAGTATTGTTGGAAATTAATTTATCGTGCCTAGAGCTGTTGTTTGAATAGTTGCCTTTCAAATTTCAATCCTACTATATTTAATAATCGCTCTCATTTGTCCCACCTTTAACAGAGACAGCCAGAGATTCACCTTTTTGCTGCTCGATTGCGGGAGCAACGTGGTGATATACCTGGTGCTCAGGCTGCGTATCAACTTGTGCACGCTGAAATATCACCTGGACTTGTAGAAGCAATAATCAAGCATGCGAACATGGAACGTCGACTTGTAAGATTGTTTCATGACCTACTAAGGTTTCAGGATTAAATTTGATCTTTGTTAACTTATCTAATGGATCGTTTTCTTCTTGGTTCTTTGAAGGGGAATCTTGAGGATGCCTGTTCAGTATACGAACAAGCTATCGCCATTGAAAAAGGAAAGGAGCACTCGCAGAGTCTGCCATTATTGCTTGCACAGTACTCTCGGTTTTTGTACTTGGTATAGTTCTTTTGTGTCTTGTGTTATCCAGCTTTTACATCTTTGTCTCAAGTAATTGACTATTGCCTTTTCCATCTTGTTGTAGTGTGCGTCTTCCAATTGTGGTGATCAATTATAGATATTGTTTTGCTTCGGAGATGTTTATGGAAATTGGAATTTGATATTCTCATCTGTGAATGGGCTTCCCAACATTGTTTAGTATAATCTCGGAATGATTCTCTGTTTTATGGACGTGCATCATCATAATTTATGTTGCAATCATACACCAACATATATAGTAAGACATAGTTATGTAGACCATAGCTTGTCACAATATTCCACATAATCATCTGATTCTCAATCACTTTAGTTATTTGTTTATATGTACACACTCTTCACTGCCCTTGTGGAAGGCTTTTCTGTAGGAAAAGAAAGCAGAATTAGTGCAAGTGCGTGGAGAGTCATTAAGGACTTTGACTTGATCCCCCTGTAATGTTGGGTGTTGATAACATGGAAACATCTTTCTTTGCTTCGAGTTCCTCATGATTAGAGTCATCATTGAAATTTATGTATTTGTCCTCCTTTGGCTCACTATCACAAAATCTCTGTTGAAAGGTTTCTGGGAAGGTGGGAAAAGCTCGGGAAATTCTTGATCAAGCAGTTGAGAATGTCCAGTTGTCAAAACCACTTCTGGAGGTCCGACTCTCTCTCTCTCTCTCTCTCTCACATCCAAAGGCATAATGAGTGGAGGAATTGGTGTTTTCTTATTGACATGCTGTTTTCATTTAAAAAATACAGGCAGTGATCCATTTAGAATCCATTCAGTCGCTACCAAAGAGAATAGATTTGCTGGATTCATTGGTTGATAAGTTCATAGTTCCATCCCCTGAGAACCCTAGCGTTGCAAGTGTTGATGAAAGAGAGGAGTTATCAAGCATTTTCTTGGAGGTATGAACTGTTAGATTTGGGTACTTGACAGAGGTTTGGGACTGTGATGCTCTCAATGTTAGAACAAATATGCCTTGCGCTGTTCTCGTGGGAAACTTAGGTTATTTGAACTTATGATCTTGACCAGATATGCTTTGAAATGCGTTCAGTTATATATATATATATATCATGGGCTTTTAGCACAAGACTGTTGTCTGCATATTCCAAGATGGCGCACTACCATATTCCTGATACCTGAATTCCCTCTTTTTGATACAAACTGACTGAACTGAAATAATTGAACAAGCTGGACATACTTTATTAAGCTGATAACCCATCCCTGAACTAGTATTCCTGGCAGATATGCACTTGGATTAGAGTTGGCATATATCTTTAGGTACTTTTCCAAGTTTGCTATACTGTGAAGATAAGAAAGCTGGTAAAAATAGAGTTAAAATTGTTCAAATTAGAAAGGGACACTATTGTCGGACCTCCAAGAAAGAAAAAGAGGTCACTATTTTTGGGATGTAGGAAGTAGAAAAACATATTAAGTTCAGTGGGGAGTTTGTTTATCATGTTGCCCTGATGTTTAAAACATGACATGGTTTAAATTCGAGTATGGACTTGATTTCTTGAAATTTTCGCTTTGTGTTTGAATGATTGATTGTTCCAATAACCAAATTACTATATCATGGTAGTTTAATCAAATCATATGATGGTTTAAATTCGAATAATATCCGAATCTCTTAGCGATGCAATGGGGTGTCCGGAGAGAAATTTGTTTTATTGGCAATCATTTCTGATTCTTGAAGCGTAAACACTTCAGAATGTCTTGGAGATGCAATAGGGATTCTATAAAGAGATTTTTGATTCTCGAGCTTTCACAATCTTGTTTTATAGACCTTAAAGTGTATACATTTTGGAATGGAGAGTCTGGATGGAGATCTTTTTACTGGGAGTTATTTCTGATTCATGAGCCTACACATCTTTTGATTTTTTAAAGACTCTGAAGTGTAAACATGTTGAAATGTTTTGTGGGTGCAAGGGGAGTTTACAGAGGGATTTGTTTTCTTTGGAATTATTTCTGACTCTTGTGAGCCTTCACAAAATTAAAATAGCTTTTGAGTGTCTTAACTGATTATGTTTTGTGTTATTTGATGATCCATCTGTCGCTGCTTTGTGCTATTTGTATACCGTTATCCGTCTGTCGGGGCTGCACTTTTTGATGCTTTTGCCGAAATGTTCTGAGACTGAGAAAGTGTCTGCAGTTTCTAGATCTTTTTGGAGATGCAGCATCAATTAAGAAGGCTGATGATCGGCATGCTAAGCTCTTCTTACGCCATAGAACCTCTTCAGATTCAAAGAAACGTCAGGCTGACGATTATTTAGTTTCTGAGAAGACAAAGCTGGCAAAGTCTGCTGTTGCAGCATCTAACCCCTCAGTGGCTGGTGCATTTCCTGGAGCGCAAAATCAATGGCCTGCAGGTTATGGTGTACAAGGTCAAACCTGGCCACAGGCTGCACAAGCCCCACCACAGCAGTGGAATCCTGGTTATGCACAACAGGTAATGTTATGGCAAATAGTTAACAGTTTCACTAAAGATGGGTTGCCCCCTTGTTCAAATCTCTCTCCCTAGAGTGCGGATCTGGATATGCTTCCCAGAGCAATGCAATGTGGAACCATTATATATGTGTTAAGCATGCTTTAACCAACATGTTGATTTAGGTTAAACTGGAACCCCATCATGGAGTTAAACAAATAAGTTTTGTATTTAAATGGATTTTGGATGCTCCTTTCCTTTTTCCTCTGAATCAGCTTTCTGTGAACATATAGCTTTTCTGTGCGCAATTGCTTTATCACTCTCCAGCACTCAGTTTCTTGTTACATATTTTCTTTTTCTCCACCCCTCGGGTCCATGGAGGTCTTCCTTTACGCATGTATTTCAGTTCTCCCTGTGGCCATTAAAGCTTGAGAGTGTTGTATGTCCATGTGTGTGAATCTTCATGTTTTGCTCAGTCCATATATTCTTTCAGATTATCAAGATTATTCGTGGAATTAACTTTTCTAGAATATATACAGTTCAAAACAGTTATGTGATCAGTGGCTTAGTTTTCTATTGTGTTTGTTGAACTTTAGGCAGCATATGGTGCTTACAGCAGTTACGGAGCCAGCTATGCACCTCCTCAAGGGCCTGCACCAGTGCCCTCAAGTGCTGGTTATGGTGCTTATCCTTCAACATACCCGGCGCAGGTAAGTGGAGCGCCTTTTATATATCAGCATTTTCATTGCTTGTCTAGCATACATTACCAACTTGCATTATGGTTTCAGCAGGGATACTTTATTAACCAGTTCTATAGTTTTCATGGTTACCTTTTTTTGGGTAAAAAATTGTTTTCATGTCCTTGTATGCTAAGAATGGTTGGTGAGATTAAAATTTGATGCCCTCTAAGTTACCCAGTTTTAAGTCTGAAAATGGTGGTGAGGCCACAAGGCTTGCTAAATTGTAGCATTTCAGTGTTCAAAATTGAATCGTTTCATTTACTTCTATTATCTTGAGAATGTAACTATCAAGAAGTAGTTCATCCATTCATCTCTTTTATGTTGATTTCATCGGTCAAAGTTACTAGGGCATTAGACATAGTTCTAGAATCCAGAGTAAGACTAGAAATTGGTGTCCTGCTGCCAGTAGCTCTTATACATTAAATATATGTTGGAGAAATTGCACTTCAGGCTTAATTCACGGTTAACCCTTGTGTTTGGAATGGTGTGACAATGAACCTTTATCCTCACAGAAACACACAAGTCCAAGATCACCAAATTGGTACATCCAATGGTCTAGTGTGCTTTGGGAATACACTGTTATTCCTGCCAAATATTGTAGATAGCACATGTGCTTTAGTGAAAGGGCCTTCCACCTCCAACTGCGACGTTGGGGGTAGGGGTGGGCATATATCGGGTAAAACCGATAACCCGAACCGTTAATTATTTATTGGGTCGGTATTGGGTTATTGGGTTAACGGTTCGGTAACGGGTAAAAAAAAATTTTATTGGGTTATCGGTTCGGGCTCGGTTTGGCAATTCTGTTATTGGGTAAAACCGATAACCCAATAAGGGTTAACTAATTTACTAGTTTACCCTTAAGTATATACATACTCTAGGGTTTCATATACATAGTTCTCACTTCTCAGTTTCTCCGCCTCACACCCTGTCGCCCTCACCAGTTCTCCGCCAGATGGATTGGCTTTACTTGCAAATTCACTGATTATTAAATCAAAGTTTTTCTTGGAAGACTCAAGTCAAGTTGCAGTAAGATAACTTTAACTGGTTGTCCTGTTACTCAATCAGATGATGTGGGTGCTTTTGGCAGCAAGAAAATCTTACAATTAGAAGAAACATTTTCTATCTAAAGAATATTGATCAATTGAAAAAGAGAATGAATGCCAATATATCTAAGCAACATAAAATAGAACTGTTCTCATTTGCAGAATCTGTTTTAGTTTTATCTTATCAGGTAAACCGATAACCGAACCGATAATGATCAATAACCGATTAACCGATAACCGATAACCAATA